CCACTGTGCCACCAGGGCTCTGTGAGATATTGTCTAGAACTTAGATAATCCTATCTACGTAGCAAAAAGAAGTAGTCTTGAATTAGTAGCTAATGACCACATGGATTAAAGTTGAATGCTTAAAGGCCTTTAATCTAGCCGGTCAGCAGTATAAAGAATGTATTTGAGCAGACTAACCTATTGTGTTCAAACCTCAGGACTAATCAGTATACCTCACTTTAGCTGGAAGTCTGGTCTTTATTAAAAAGTTAAGAAGAAATGACGATGTAGTATTAAGCAGATCAAAATGAACTGTTCCTCACTTGTTGACAGCAACAACTTCAATACGGATGATTCTAAGAAGCGATGGAGGATTCATTATTCACTGGGACATTTATTAGCCATAGAATTGATTTCTACTTCAGTTTCCTTCAATAGAAAATGGCCAAAATGTGTCTGAGTTTCCTGTTTACCAGCTTTCTTGGAGAGTAACTTGTGACAAAGAAGTTCAGGTTGTTCCAAATCCTAGTCTAACCAACTCGTATGAAAACCTGTCACATACTGTTTTATCATATTGATTTTTGTTGCATAAATTATTACTTAAAATAGGAGAACATTCTCATTATCTTTGGCATTATTATTTTCTGTATCAGTTTAATCTGGACTTTTATAATGTTTAAAAGGAAACTTCCCTTCTGTGAATGATTGATGATGTATCACAACTTTGAGGAAGACTCAGAGGAAAATCTTATTTTTAGATTCTGAGTCGTAAAGGGGAATATTATCCTAAGCACATAAAGCGTTTTAAAAATCTGTTGCCAAATATAATATTTTCCACAATGCACTGTGTGTTTGTTATAATTAAACATTTTTCTTCTTTTTCAGAGTGATCTGACTGCAAAGGCATTGGAACATTTTGTCATCTGTCCACTGGCCAATATCTATCTGGGTGACTGGGGAGAGAGCTTATGGTTGCAAAAGATAATGGGAATCCTCACTTCTCTGCTTTGGATGCAAATTCAAAGAACTAGTCCCATGATGGTGGTGGGGAGATTTGCTACAATTAGATTAGCAGCACTTTTAAATGTAGATGCACAGAAGCAAATTCGTTAATACCAAAAGAAGAGATGAATTAGTTGCAATGCCTCGTGGTTGTGCTTCCAAGCAGAAAAGACAGCTGCTTTCCCTTGATGATTTTTGGATTCGATGAAAAACAATGGCTCAGTCTTTCAGGAGAAAGCACTGAGGTGGCCTTTGTCTTGTCTCCGGGCCTATCTCCTGAGAGGCAGTCTTGTCAGCCAGGAGTCAAATAAATCCAAGCTTCGAGATTCAGAGGAGAAGATGAGCTATGCCTTTGCTCTCCTGGCATCCATCTGGGGACACTTGATGAAAATCCTTCTCCCTAAGACAAATTACGGACCCCTAAGGCCCTTAAAGGAAAGTAAACTGTACTCATGAAAATTAAATGGTGGCATCCAGGTAATGACAAGAGGGCTCTATTTCTTTTCTTTCTTTTTTTTTTCTAATTCAGGAATTCAATCCTTTAGTTTTCAGTGATTCTCTGTGCATTTTTAGACCAAGGAGCTGCAATATTAGAAAGTACATTTTTGTCTATGTTTTTTATGCTAGTGCCTTAAAATCATGCTGTAGCTCTGTGGAACCCTCCTCTGCTTGCCTATATAAACAAAAAAAAAGGAGAGAGACATAGTTGTGTGAATGTGAAGCCAGCAGACAACCGCTTTGGAGTTTACAAGACACAGTCAACCATATCTAGCCTACAGGATATTTTTAAGGGTTAATAAGCTCAAGTCTGTAGAGTGATTGGAAAGGGAAGTGTGGTACATGGGGACTAATTGAAAAAAATACACCCTTTATAAACATCTTAACCATCTAGTGTCAATATTTTCCTCCTATCAAACCACAGCTAGTCATATTTTTCTATTATTTATTTGCATCTGTGAAGCTTAATAAATATTTCGTTTGTTATTTTAGTATCAATATTTTATCATGTCTTTCTTTTCTTAACAAATAAAAACTGCATTTTCACTGAAACATTTGTACAGCTTGAGCTCTTTAAAAATAAAAATGTTACAAAAAGTTATACAGTCCTAATTTATCAAGAAGGAAATAAAAATCAAAAGACTTTCAGTCTATTTTCAACTAATGTGTGAAATATCAGAAAATGGCCTGTGTTTTATGCATATGTACTTTAGATTACAATGAAAATTTCATAAAGTCCTCTAAAATACAATCCAACTAAATTTCCAGTGATTTTGTTTTCAAGTTCCTGGATGGAGCTTTTGAAAAACTCACACTGTAGTAATAACCATAAAACCACCTTACTAAGGAAATGCTGGCCAGCTTGGAAATAATAAGCTCTTTATAGTCTGTATAAGAATACATAAGTCTAGAATCTTTAGCAGGTGATTATACTGGTTGAGTTTGAATTTCCTTCACTGTTGTAAGAGAGAACTGCTTACTGAGGATGCATTCTGAATGGCACTTCCTGCTAAGGGGGCAGTATGAAGCAAGGCATACATCTATTATTTGCAAAAGCTGAGCTCAGAGCGGTTAAGAGACCTACCCAAAGTGATACAGTTGATGGCAGATCCTAGTCCACAGGTCTTTCTTTAATAAGCTATACTTCCTTCATGGATTCTTCTTTTCATGAGTAATTCTTAGCCTTATGTTAAGGCTGGGACCCAATTTCCCAGGGACGGGCAAGACATTTTACTTAGACACGGTCAAGTATATAGGCAACTCACATATATTGAAAACCAATTATATGCCATAGATTATGCTAAGAACTTTTATATGCAACATCTGTTTTACTCTCCACAAAAACTCTGTAAGATGGATTCTGTTAATGCCCCCATTTTATAGATGAGAAATGGGAAACCACAGAGGTCAGGTAACTTGTTCAAAGTTGCACATGTAAGGAAGCAGTCAAACCAGAAATTGAAATGAAATCTATCTAATTTGAAAGCCCATGTATTAAACCACTTTGCCACACTGCCTCTGCATAGGGACAGAAAGATTCAAGCATGGTGAAAATGTACATTTATTATTTAAAAATAAGCACATCTCCGTGCCTCTTTTTAAGAGATAGTTACATGCAAACAATGACAGTATGATGTATTTCTGAAAAATGGTTGAAATTTTGAGAAATGCAAATCATGAGGACTCTGTACTTTAGAGTCTAGAGATGATCATGGTGGTTTTGCATAATTGCACACATCCTATCTGCAAATGAAATATCAACCAATATGTAAGACAATTGTGTGAATTATTTCTTGGACAGGTATTAGCTACTGTTTGTAAAGCCCTATTAAGAAATTGTTGCCGGCAAAAGCTAGCACTGAGGAGCCAAATCAGTTCTTCATTTGCGTCAGTGATGTTCTTGTGGCTGGCAGAATATTTATTCCCAGAGGTAACTGCTATCAACTGCATTTTGCCCCTTCAGTTGCTACAAGCTTGTAATGGAGAGTGGGCGGAGAGGATGACCTGTAATTCGGGATGGTTTGGAAGCCGGTTGCCTAGGAAACTGGGATGAGCAGCACAGTGCCCACCAAAACCAACTGTCAACAAGAGAGGAGATTTTCTTTTTTTGATCTGCATTGCTTTCTAAATACATATTCTGTGCTTCTTGTGGAGCCTGACTAGGGCCATTGGCCGTTGGTGGGCAGTGCATGTCAAACTGGGCCAAAGGTTAGTCAGGGAGGATGAGATATTTTTAATAAACATTGTGCTGACAAAATATCAGAGGGAAGGAGGAGGAAGGGATGATGATGGTGAAATTAAAATGAGTTTGTAAACGGTTAAGGTGATCACCAGATGAACATTTTACAGAATGTAACGTGCAGGTGATTCTTGATCATAACTTATCTGCAGCTAAATTTATAGAAGCAAAACTTAGGTTTTTTTAAACGTAGAAGTTTTATTTGCTGCAATCCACTGTTCCTACTCTTAGGCTGCTCACACCAGAAGCTTTGATTTATGGAAGTTATTGCCAAGAGCGCCCCTTTTCTCTACTCTGTCCACACCCCCCACATGCACCTGTTTAGGACTCAGGCACTTTCTGGCACCACCCAAATGCCTGCCTTTTGGCCAGTCTGATGCCATTGGGCTATAGCCCCTTGCCTTATTTGGAAATGAAAGAGCTTTGTATTGAAGTGAAATGTTAATTCCTAGGAATTTGGGGGTTGAAGTTCTCTTGGGAGCAACTCCGAAGGCTCCATTCCCAAAAGTTGTGATTTGCCTCATAGGGTTTCCTTTTGTCTTCAGCAGAGGGTATCCTGGCCAAGGAGAAGGCGGATCATTCCTGTTCTCATATAATTGAGGACTGTTATTTATTTAGAGGCCAAGACTGCCCTTCTCCCGCCTGTCAAAAAGGTTTCAAAGCTGCCGAACCAGGAACTGTTTCAGATTACAGACTTCAGTTGACTAATGACCCTTGTCCTCCCCTTCAGTAGTGAAATCCCAGAATGGTCCTAGGAGAAGAGAAGTAAATCCTGACAGCTGCTTAGAGGTCATTTTAGAGCTAAATCCCAGGAGAAACTCATTTAGGTTGTGGGAGAGACCAAAAAAAAGACAAGGAGGAGGTTAGTGTACAGAGGGTAGCTGTTTGCAGTTCACCCAGGTGTGATATGATCTGAAAGCCAGACCCCTACATCAGCAGTTAGTAGACAACCCTTGGCTCCTTTGCCCCTTGGAAAGCACAGTCGAATTAGGTGGCATGGGAAACACATGCACTCAGACACACACTCACACATACTTCGTATGACCTACCTACAAGTCTCCCCAGGAAAGGATCCTCTGTGGGTGAGAGAATGAGGCCAGGTGATATTCCAAGGAGGCTGTAATTTTAGCAGACCTACCGGACACTAATGTAGGACGCTTGTTATTTTGCGTCCTACAAGCCTTTTTATTTTTTAATCTGTGAAAGCCTGTGAATAATTGTGGTGCTTGGCTTCCTAACTGGGCAGTGAGTTAAAACAACAAAAGCTCTTATCTTGACCACCATGGAGTTTCTTGAAAGAACTTATCTTGTGAATGACAAGGCCACCAAGATGTATGCCTTCACACTAGACAGGTAACAAACATCTATATCTGCCTCACAATTTTCTGTGCTTTGAATATTCAAGAAATTCCTAGGTGCTACTGCTTCAGGGTTGGAAACTTCTGCTTTGCATCTTGGGGGCATTTTGTAAAATTTTATAAGCTGTTGACTGACTTGTCAAATTTATGTTCTGAAAAATGCAAGAGTCTATGTCATTGATTTGATTTCTTAAATATTCTAAGTGCATAAAGGAAACAGTGTATTAATGTATTTTTTAATCTGTAGTTTCTTTTTGATAAAATACACACGTACATGCTAATGTGTTTTCCTTTCTCTTCTTCAGTTATTCCCACCTTTAAGATAGGCAGTAAATTTTATTAAATTATATTTAAAAAAAATAGCCTTTTCAACTATGTGGGAAAATTGTGGTTATATTGATCTTAAAATTACTTGCTGTTTTCTTAATCATAAAATACTAGTGAGTATATAGACATATAATAAGTATAGCTGATTTAAATGTTCTGCATAGATCTGGTTCCTTTTAATATGTCCCATAGTGCCACAAGCGATATGTTAATTCGTTTTGCACTTATTTAACAATTATTGATCAAACACAGTTGTGCTAAGGGCTGAATATATAGTGCAAAAGAAAATATTCCCAGTCCTAGATCTCTGGTCCAAGAAGAAACTCAGCAATCACAATATAGCATGTAAGCGTCATGCTGGAGATGTTCAATGAGAATACTATAACAGAACCTGGATTTCACCTGAACTTTGGGCATCAGAGAATGCTATTTCAGAAGAATGATAGCTAGGTTGAGAACTAAAATAGAATGGAGTTAGAGTAGGGTTAGGGAACCCTACGTAGAGCACAGGGTGATTTTCCAGGCTGAGAGAATTGCATGGTAAAAACGTAAACATGGAAGAGTAAGTGGTTGGTGTGTTTGAGGAAATGAAAGTGGCTCATCCCAAATGGGGAGCAAAGAGGGCCACCCTCAGTACATATAGATGAATGAATAAAAATCTGAAATGAATTTATATTAGGAGCAGAATATGAGAGATTACTTACCCATTAGCTATATGTGCAATTTCTTTTGCTGGTTTCATGGGACCAAAGTAATATTCTTCAGAGTAGTAACATTATGTTTGATAGCATCCAGTGTTTCAGTAACCACAGAGGGAATTTTTCTTGGGATATTTGTAACTTTGCTTAAAAATGTATAACAAAGACTCTAAAATGTCTATTATCTCACTTTATAAGAATTATTTATCTTAGAAAATATTATTAGATGTGATCTATCCAGATTGTAAACATCAACAAAATCTCATGTTAGGTCAAACAGAAATTTTGGATGGCAAATTGCTAATACTATGGATATATTAATATATAATCGTCATTATTGAAACAACAGTATTTCCCTTCTCATTAAAATGTACTTTTAACATTCTGATACAGAAGTAAAGCCAACTATTTCTAGTTACAGATACCGTTCACTTCGTAATGGGTATGGTTTTCAGGACAGAGTGCTGATGAAAACTGTGAAACTCATTTTTCTTTTCTTTAAAAAAAAAAAAAAAGTTAAATCTGGAACAGATTATTTATCCAGATCCCTCATTTTACTGTTAGGAAACTGAATGCCTTTCTTCGAGTCAGATGGTTAACTGTGGCTGCATTAGGATCTAGATTAATTTAGCATCTCCTTCTTACCCAGCTCTAACACCTCACCACACCCATTTGCACAATACAGCCTCCTGAATCCTTTATCTATTTCCTCCTGAGGGCACATGTATTGGGTTCCCTCACTGGTTCACTTCCTTCCTTCACCTCGCTGACCCCCTTTCTCATGTATTTTTTTTTTTTTTCTATTTCATAAATACCAAACTGAAAAACCAAACCTGCTGTGGTCAAGTCGATTCCTACTCATAGCAACCCTGTAGGACAAGGTAGAACTGCCCCATAGAGTTTCCAAGGCTGTAATCTTTTTGGAAGAAGATTGCCAGGTCTTTTCTCTTGCGGAGGAGCTAGTGGGTTCTAACTGCCAACCTTCTGGTTAGCAGCCGAGTGATTAACCATTGCGCCACCAAGGCTCCTTCATTTCATAGATAACTATTTCATAAATAACTTTGTCTACTGATATTCCTCCCCTCTGCTCCCTCCTCCTCTTTTATCGAAGAAGCTCTCATGGCACAATGGTTAAGTGCTTGGCTGCTAACCAGAAGGTCAGCAGTTTGAACCCACCAGTAGCTCCATGGGAGAAAAGACCTGGTGATCTGCTCCCATAAAGATTACAGCATGGGAAACAATGGGGCAGTTCTATTCTGTCATATAGGGCACTATGAATCAGAATAGACTTGATGGTACACAACAACAACCTCTTTTATCTACTAATCATCAGCTTTCTATTTGTTACTACCTGGTGTTGTTGGTTGCAGTTGTTGATACAGACTCATGGCAACCCCATGTGGGCAGAGTAGAATTGCTCCATAGGGCTTTCAAGGCTGTGACATTTCAGAAGCAGATTGCCATACCTCTCTTCCAAAGTGCCTCTGAGTGAGTTTGATCTGCCAACCTCTCAGCTAGGATTTGAATGCTTAACTGTTTGTGCCACCCAGGGGCTCCATTTAAGAAACAACCTGTAGGAAATTTTATTACCTAATTCTGTAAAGGGAGTGTTTATCTATCGCTGTTAACAAACTACACGAAAACTTCATAGCTGAAACTATCATTTTATTATTCATGATTCCATGGGTCAGGATTTTGGATCGGGTTCCACGTGAGGTCAGCTGGGTTTGTTCATGAGGTTGCATTCTGCTGGAGGCTGGCCTGGGCTGGAAGGTTCCAGACGGCTTCACTCACATGTCTTGGATCTTTGTGCTGGCTCTTGGCTGGGGGTCCATTCTCCTTCCTGTGGAATTTCTCTGTGTGGTCTCTCATTCCATTAGGATACCTTAAATGTGTTTAGATGACACTTCAGAGTAGTAACAGAGTGAACGTGGATGCTGAAGGACTCAGAAAGTCTAAGCTTAGAACTGGAACAGCATCATTTTTTTACCACAATTGATTAGTTAAAACAAGTTCCAAGGCTCAGATTCAAGGAATGGGGAAATAGAGTCTTCCTCTTGATGGCATGTGCATACAGGCATGACAGGAATTGTTGGAAATCATCTTTACACCTAAGTTACCACAGGGAGTACTTTTATTGGGATCAGTAGGTGCCAAGAACACTATCCTATAGCCTCTTCCCTTTTTCCTTTCTTCCCTATCCCCATTTCGGTGATGTGATTTTCCATGCTTTGGGCTCATGGTAGCAAAAAGACACTTGTGTAAAGCTGATCAACACATTCCACATGGTTTTCTTAGGGCTGAATGGGAGGGATCTGCTTTCTCCTTTTCTGAAGTCATATATTTAAAAAGTGCCAGAGAAGTGAAGGAACAGGGATAAGCTACTGGAATTTCTTTTCAGTATGAAGCCCTAAAAGTGGTGGTGGAAGAGACTTTCAGAATGGTGGCATGAGGAGCTCAGTGGAACCTCTCCCCAACAAAACAACTATTTAACTGGTGAAAATTTTTTAAAATAAACAAATAAATAAAATTCTTTAAAATCCGTCAAATTGTCTTAAGGTCATATAGAAAATTGAGAACTATTTATTTAATAAAGTCTACTGGATTTCAGTAAGAAGAAAGTCTGTGGCATTTGAGCCACAACCCATTAAATTACTTGCTCCCCATCCTCTGAGCAGGTACAGCCAGAAAGTCAGACAGCCTTCTCCCCTAGCTCTCAGTCAACAGCTATAAATTCATCTCTAGAGGGATAGTCTGTGGTAATCTCTTATCCTCCTGGCTCTGTGTTGCAGAATTCTATTTCACGCAGACTTAGCTTCCACTGCCCAACCCCCATGCTTAGGGCAATCTCTACTCTAGGGACATCAGGGCCCCAGCGCACTTGCAGGGTAGAAATTCTATACCAAGCAGGGTAAACCAAGAAGACCAGGGACTACTATACCAGCTCAGCACCCTACTTGGAGAGAAGGAGTGTTAATTCCAGAGAAATGGGCCACTGCCCATTTCCCCAGTTCTGGTGCAGTGGCACAGAGCTACTGCATGGGGAGAGAGAAAGGCCATAAGGACAGTTATGTCACTCTCTCTAAGGAAATTGATGGTACACCAGCTATAGGTTTATTTGGTAGACTAGATAGAAGTTTATTTGGAAGAAAGTTTGGGGAATTTCAAGCCTAGGGCACTATTAAAAACAATGAAGATTTTGGTGCTAAGCAATTAAGGGTAGGCTGGTCCATCTATAATAGCAACAAGTGAAATGGTAGATCAGCTAGAAGTTTAATACAGAAAACCAGGGGAAGAGACAGCTAAGAAGAGCCTTCCTGGAGCTGGAGCAAACTGCAAAGACTGGCCTCAAAGATTACCTTTGTAAAAGGGGTCCAACTTTAATTAGAATAGATTGTAGAGCAATTTATAGCACAGGGAATTGTTGAAAACAATAAAGAAATCAGCAAAAAATTAGTGGAGGTTAACAGCTGAGTGTGATGATACCAGTACAGTCAGAATAACCAGATGTTTCACATTGAGACAAAATAAATAGGCAAAGAGAACTCATTTAAAACCATCATCATCACTGTGGGAGGTGGGGAGGTAAGGGTAACTGTGCACATGCCCAGAAATGCACCCTCTGAGGAACAATAACAGAGGTTGCACACTACAGAGGAAACCAGAGGAAATGGACTCCACTTAAATGGTCCAGACAAGTCACTAAACAAATAAACAAGTAAAAAACAACAGCACCAAAAACAAGACCTAGGGGAGCTCAGTACCCAGAATTGTTACAATATATTATCTTAAATGTCTAGTTTACTATAAAATATTACAGGACATGCACAGAAACAGAAAATTGTGATCCATACAAAGTTACAAGGGCAGGCAATAGAAACTGCCTTTTAGAGGGTCCAGATGTTGGACACAGCAGACAAATACTTCAAGGCAGCTATTATAAATATGTTCAAAGAACTAAAGAAAATCATATTTAAGGAATTAAAAGAATGTGTTGAGGTATGATGTCTCATCACGTAGAGAATATCTTTAAAGATATAGAATTTATTAAAAAAAAAAGGACAAAATACTAATTCTGGAGTTGAAAAGTAAAATAACAAAAATGAAAAAAATCACTAGAAGCATTCAACAGTAGATTTGAACTGATAGAAGAAAGAATCAGCAATTGTGATAATAGATCAATAGAGATTAGGCAATATAAAGAACAGAGAGAAAAAAATGAAGAAAAATGAACAGAACCTCAGAGAAATATGGTACACCATGAGCCCACTGATATATATGTAATGAGAATATCAGAAGGTGAGAAAAGAGCACAAAAAATATTCAAAGAAATAGTGACTGAAACTTCTCAACTTGGTGAAAATATTAATCTACACATCTAAGAAGCTCTACAAACTCTAATTAGAATCAAAGCAAAGAGATCCACACCCTTACACATCATAGTAAAAATGCTGGACTCAAAGCAAAGAGAAAATCTTAAAAGTAGCAATAGAAAAATGATTCATCATGTACAAGGGCATTCCTTCTTTCAGAAACAATGGAGGCCAGAGGGCAGTGAGATGTCATATTCAAAGTGGCAAAAGAAAAAATAAAAGATAAGACTGTCGGCCAACAATCTGACAACCAGCAAAACTATTTTTCAAAAATGAAGGTTAAATGAAGGCATTCCCAGATAAACAAAAAAACAGAGAGAGTTTGTTGCTAACAGACCTGCCTTACAGGTAACACTACAGGAAATTCTTTGGGCTGAAAGCAACTGACACTATACAGTTATGTGAATCAACACAAAAGCAAAGTGCACCAGTAAAGGTAAATTATGTAGGTAATTATAAAAGACAGCATATGCTGACATAAATGGATCAAAAGAGAGCTAGAGTGGCTATACCAATATCAGATAAAAGATGCTTTAAAAGAAAAAGAAGTTGCTAGAGGTAAAGCAGGACATTTTATAACAATAAAAGGTACAATCTATCATGAAGATATAACAACTATAAACATATTAAGACCTGATGAGAAAGCCCTGAAATACATGAAGCAAAAACTGAGCGATATGAAGGGAGAAATAGACATTTCAACAATAATAGTTGGAGACTTCAGTATCCCACTTTTAATAATGGATAGAAAAACTAGGTAGAAAATCAACAGGATATAAAAGACTTGAACAACTTTATAAACCAATGACACCTAACAAACATGTACAGAATACTCCATCCAATAATAGAAAAATATACATTTTTCTTAAGTGTACATGGAAAGTTTTCCAGAATAGACCATGTTTATTGGACTGGAGACTTTGTTTAGGACACACACACATACAAAGCCTCAACACATATAAAATGATTACGATCATACAATATATATATTCTCTGGCCATAAAGGAATTAATTTAGAAATTAATAACAGAAGGAAATCTGGAAAATTTGCAAATACATGGAAATTAAACAACACACTGTTAACTAATGGGTCAAAGAAGAAATCAAAAGGAAAATTAGAAAAGATTTTGAGACAAATGAAAATGAAATCACAGCATGGTGAAACTTACTGGATGCAATGTTTAGAAGAAAATATAAAGCTGAAAACGTCTACTTTTTTTTTTAAAAGAGAAAGATCTCAAATCAACACCTAATTTTTCCACTTAAGACTGAAAAAAGAAGGGCAAACTAAGCCCAAAGCAAGCAGAAGGAAGGAAATAATAAAGATTAGAGTGGAAAAAATAAATGGAAAAATAAATGAAACAACAAAACAAAAAAGTTGCTTTTTTAAAAAGACCAACAAGACCTTTAGCTAAACTGAGAAAATAAATCAAAATCTGATTAGATCAAGAGCCATGCACATTGATATTTGCATCACTGAAAATTGGTTTTAGGTATACTGCTACTAAGGCAGGGAGGCAGTATGAAGATGAAGTTGAAAAACACTGGGCTTGGAATCAGATTTAGGTTCCAATCCAGCTCTTCCACTTCCTGGCTATTTGGCCTTAGGCAATTAACAACTCGGGACTCTAGTTACTCTAGCTAAAAAAACTATGGGGTTGGATAAAATGTTATCTATAATTTTTCCAGTTCTGATATTCTATAATCTATGGATGACCCTAAATGATATTTGAGCAGAACTGATATGCACTGTCTGCTTTAGGAAGGATAAGAAGGTTTCAACTATCATGATAACTTGGATTGGTTGGTAGAGATTGTCTGCAAAGCTGTGTTAAGAAAGTCTGAGGGTCCTTATGGACTCAGCAGCAAAAAGTGGTATGAGCTGTTAACGATGCTGCTGTGGGTAGGAAAGGGAGAGTGATAGCATACAATCCTGGACATTTGAATCTTCAGGTTGGCTCATATATGCATACCTAAATCCTCTCCCCATTTTTTTTTTTTTAAATGGGAGCAGTGACGGTTCAGTTGTAGAATTCTCATCTTCCATGTGGGAGACTGGGTTCAATTCCTGCCAGTGCATCTCATACACAGCCACCACCCATCGTCAGTGGAGAATTGCATGTTGCTATGATGCTGAACAAGTTTCAGTGGAGCTTCCAGACTAAGACAGACTAGAAAGAAGGGCCTGCTGATCTACTTCTAAAATCAGCCTATGAAAACCTATGGATCACATATGTGTGATCTGCAACCCCCAGGACCAGGCAGCATTTTGTTCCATTGTGCATGGGATTGCCACGGTGGGGTGGGGGACGACTCAACAGTAGCTAACGACAACCTCCTTTATTGGTAGCACCTGTACCCGTTGCCGTTGAATTGATTCCGACTCATAGGGACCTATAGGACAGAGTAGAACTGCCCCATAGGTTTTCTAAACAGCAGCTGGTGGATTCAAATTGCCAACCTTTTGGTTAGCAGCCAAGCTCTTAACCACTGCTCAGTGCCCCACAAATTTTCATTGTTAATTAACTGGGAAGGAAACATATCAAAGCATATCTGCTTCCTTTCTCCTACTCCTTTGACATCTCTTAATCACTGGTGGTATAGACTGAATAACAGCCTGATTGAATAAAAGCAAAACTTTTATTGATTGGAAATTCAGAAGAATTTTTTTGCCTGTTGAAGGAGCTGTGGATTATAGCTTCCTAGCTAGTTAGCAAATGTCCTAGTAGTGGTTCCAGGAATGAGTAGAACTGTCAGTGAGGTATTTGTTTGCAACCATGTTCATTTCTTGCTTCTGTCAAACTCATCCACAGTGCGGAACTCCGACAGAAGCCCCTGAATAAAGATCAATGTCTTGGAGAGAAGCCAGAGGAGCTGGAGACAGGAGCCTTCTATCACTGCCACAACAACTTCAAGGCCACTGAGAATAGGGCAAAGGAACGAGTCCATGCCAAGTGGAAGCTCTGTGCTGCCTCGGCAATATGCTTTGTTTTCATGATTGCAGAGGTCGTGGGTGAGTACTTCTCAAAAAGACTTCTCTGATTAAACAAACAAACAAAACCCTGCACCATTACAAGAGGGTCACCTTAGTTCTTTTTTTAAGGGAAGCTTTCATGTTTTTTGCAATTATAAAGTAAAAATAGCTCATTGTTGACAACTTGGAAAATAGAAGGAAAAAAATAAAATTCATCACTATCTCACATTTGAGTGATAACCTCTCAATACATATGGAGTATTTTTGTACAATGTATCTTCTGTTCATATTTCAGTTTTTTACAAAATTGAGAACATACTGAATGCTTTTGACCATGCCATCAAATACTCTTCAAAAACATTTTTAATGCTTGAATGATATTCTGTAGCATGTTCTACTGTGATTTACATAACCATCTCTGTATTATTAGAAATTTAGGGAGTTTTTCCTTCTTAGGGACAATGATACAATGAAAAACCCTGAATAAAACTCTGCCTTCCTTTCTGGTTATTCCCTTTGAAAAGATTCCTAAAAAAGAAAATAAATTGGTTGAAGGGCATAAATGTTTTTTAATGCTTTTTGATGCATATTACTAAACTGCTATCCAGAAAGTTTGAAACAATTCATATGTCTACCAGCTCTGCATGAGAATGATTCAGTCTCTGAATCTTTACCAGAATTCATTTTAATCTTGTCAGAATTTTTGTTAATATATAGGCAAATAAGATTTATTTTAATATCTATTTATTTAATTGTTACTGTTAGAATATAAAGAACTTTGTAATTCTTTATATTGATCTCTGGGAGCTCTTTATGTAGTTAGGATGTCAAACATTTGTCATATTTGTTATACTTTTCCAGTTTGTTGTTTGTATTTTAATTTTATTTAATTTTTGGTTTGACTTAGAAAAGTTTTACATTTTATATAGGTAATTGCATCAAAATTTTCATTTCTATGTGATTTTCTTTTACTAATTTTACCACTTCAGTGCTTTGTAATCCTTCCACATGTAGTGAACAGATACTTATTTTTTTTGTTCAATTTTTTGCATTTAATTTTTAAGTCAACCGGAAATCAGATATACTGCATGTTCTAAGGATTAAAAAACCTTCTTCTAAACAGCTAGCAAAAATTTCAGCATCATTTGTGGAATATCAATTCTTTCCCCCGTTGATTTTTTGATCTTTCTTTTACCTTTTATCAAGCATTTATAAGTAATAGGATGTAGTCCTAAGGTGTTTTATTGATCTGTGTTCCTAGTCTTCTGCCAGTGACATACTTATCTAATTAATATAAATTTATATGTTATAATGTCTGTTGGTCTCTCCTCATTATTATGTGTTTAACAGAAAAGATAATGGCTATTTACCCCTTATTATTATTCTAATTAAACATGGGCATCATTTTGTTCAGCTCCCTTTCAAATCTAATTATGATTTTTATTGGCATATAAATAAAGTTGTTTATCCATTATCCATGTCTTCTGTATCTCTCAGATAGGTTTTGTGGTTTTTGTTTGTTGGAAAACATGGGCAGCCTATTTCTTGTCAGAGTTATTTCTGGTTACTTTATATGTTTGGTTTATTCTTTCCAGGAGGGAATGGGGTCTTTCTTTCTTTTCATGTCACCTATTTTCTAGATTGTTACTCTACGTATTCTGTAAAGTTCTTATTTTCGTATAGTCATTTTTGTACTCAACAATCTATTTGAATTATTGTCAATTCTAAATGTTTTTAGATCATTTTCCTTGTTTCTCTCTCATCTCTCCTTCCCATCCAGGAGACAACCCACTTTTGTACCAAAAAATATATTTCCCTTCATTTTCAATAGTTATATCTCTTCTGTCTGTTTCATATTTTTATCATATTTAATAATTTCTTATGCTAAAAATATCTTACATTTAACTATCTGTTAGTAAAATATTACCTGAGGGTTTGAGTTAAGCATTTTTAAATTATGTTAATGAAGTGTTTCCTTGTCCTAGGCTTTTTTTTTAAAGTAATTAACAAATAGTTAAGAATGAGGGTTGACTTTATCAAATACATGTTGTTTTAAATGTATTTTTTTAATATTTTTGATCCATTGTTGGGTTGTATAATATTAAGAGATTATTAAGAGATTTCCTAATATGATCTTTGCATGTCTGGCATTATGATGCTAAAAGTTGTTGCTGATGTTAGGTAGCGTCGAGTTGTTTCCGACTCATAGTGACCCTGTGTACAACAGAACGAGATACTTCCCAGTCCTGTGCCATCCTTATGATCGTTGTTATGCTTGAGCCCATTGTTGCAGCCACTGTGTCAATCCGTCTCATTGAGGGTCTTCCTCTTTTCTGCTGACCCTGTACTTTACCAAGCACGATGTCCTTCTCCAGGGACCGATCCCTTCTGACAATATGTTCAAAGTATGTAAGATGTAGTCTTGCCATCCTTGCTTCTAAGGAGCATTCTGGTTGTACTTCTTCCAAGATAGACCTGTTCGTTCTTTTGGAAGTCCATGGTATATTCAATATTCTTTGCCAACACCACAATTCAAAGGCGTTGATTCTTCTTTATTTGATAATAGCTAATATTTCTTTAATGATTACTATTCCGGGAACTCATACTCATATGATTTATATAGGGTTGCTATGAGTTGGAATGGACTCAAACAGCAATGGTTTTTTTTTGTTTTTTTTTTTTGGTTTATGCCAGGAGCTAAAGGTTTCTAGGTGGCGCAAATGGTTTGAGCTCGACTGCTAATCTAAAGGTTAGTGGTTTGAACCTACCCAGTGGTACCATGGAAGGAAAGGCCTAGAGATCTGCTTCCATTAAGGTTACAGACAAGAAAATCCTATGGAGCAATTCCACTCTGCACATACAGAGTTGCCATGAGTCTGAATTGACTCCACAGCAAGTAACAACAACAGCATGCCAGGAAGTTGATGAGTGTTTTCCATGTATTACTTTACTTAATCCTGATGAAATACCTAGGAGGTAGGTTCTATTATTAATCTCACTTTACAGGTGAGGAATATGAAGCACAAAAAGTAAAGCAATTCTGCTTAGGTAACGTACCTGTAAGTGACTGACAGTCTGGTTTGTAGGGCTTGTGTTTCTAGGCTCTCAGTATGGTGCCTCTGAACTTGACCAGGGCGGGCCATTCTTTTACTGCATTGCTGAACCTAAGTCACTAATATTTTCTTTAGGATTTTTACATCATTATTAATAATTAAAATCTAATGGCCTAAGGCAGTGGTGTGTGTGTGTGGCGGGCTGAGGTTAAAGCTAGAATGGTAGGTAGGGGGCAACAAGGGCTTGGAGACTCAGCTGGGGAATCTGAATTCATTCTGTAGACCTTAATGAGTAATGGATGCTTAGAACTGGGGAGAGGCAGGTCAGAGAGATATGCTTAGCAAGAGATAACTGGCTATAGGGTTCAGAGTAGATTAGAGCAAGGAAAAACAGAAGGTTGTAAGCATCAATGCTTTCACTGTTACGGGGCCTTTGAACCTATTGTCATGGATTGAATTGTGTCCACCAAAAAATGTGTGTAGCAACTTGGCTAGGTCATGATTCCCAGTATTGTATGATTGTGTTATCTGACGTGATTTCCTTATGTGTTGTAAACTCTATCACTATGATGAGATTATATGTGATATCCTTATGTGTTGTAAATTCTATCACTGTGATGAGGTTATGCTGATGAGGTTGACAAGATTAGATAGTGTCTTAATGCAGGCTCTTTTGAGATATAAAAGAGAGAAGCGAGCAGAGACACATGGGAAGCTCATACCACCAAGAAAGCAGTGCCGGGAGCAGAGCACATCCTTTGGACCTGAGGTTCCTGTGCAGAGAAGCTCCCAGACCAAACAAAGACTGATGACATGGACTTCCCTCCAGAGCTGACAGAGAAAGCATTCCCCTGGAGCTGATGCCCTGAATTTGGACTTGTAACCTACTGGACTGTGAGAGAATAAACTCCTCTTTGCTAAATCCATCCACTTGTGGTATTTCTGTTAGAGCAGCACCAGATGACTGAGACACCTATTGAAGTGGAACTCTTGCTGCTTGTGAACATTCCTAATTGTAGAAAGGCCAGAAAGAGGAGTTATAGTGCAGATGTAAACAAGCATCTCTATTTCAAAAGATAGACATACAGACATGATACCTTGGAAAATAAGCTCAAGTATGGCCATTAGTGGAAAAAATTTAGAGTGTTCAGGGAGAGGCACCTGAAGAAGGACTAGTCAGAGTTAAGTAATGATGGAGGAAACACCAGAAGACTAGACTAGAATACAGCACCTGGGGGCAGATGGGGAAGACGGTAACTATCTCAGAGAAGAAAAATTCTTAAGGCCACTCTCTTAGTGAGAGAAATGTATAGGTAGGTGGTGGAATAACCACAAGCTTTATCGTTAGGGGTACTTAACTTGTACTAGACCCAGAGTATCCCAGTGGTTTAGGTCACTTATATTTTTTGAGGTTCCTGGTATTAAAAATTGAAGAAATGTCAAAACTTGGCAATAAAAACTGTGGAATATTTTAAACTCATGTTAAATAGCAAAAACTATATGTTTTTGGCATAACATATACTATAAGGAGTCCTGGTGGTGCAATAGTTAAGCACTTGGCTGCTAGCTGAAAGGTTGACAGTTTGAACCCACCCAGTGGCTCTGTGGGAGAAAGACCTGGAGATCTGCTTCTATAAAGATTACAACCTAGAAAATTCTATGGGGTTGTTCCACTCTGTTACATGGGGTCATTATGAGTCAAAAATTGACTCAACAGCATATAACAATAGTGTTACAATAATGTCATTCATAAGATAATTAGAGAATTTCAAAAACATGAATTAATAGTCTACAAAAGTGGAGTCCAGTAATTGGTGAACATCTACTTCTTTTAATTTTGTCAGTATGTGTCTGCTCTCCATGGAAAACGTCATTTGGTCTTAACACCAACTGTCTAAACCTGAGGTGATTTGTGAATATGAGACCCAGTCCTAATGCCTCTCTCCCTTCCTGCTATCATCTTCATCCCACAGACCCTACTGGGTAGGGTCTATTTCCAAGACTTAAGCCCTTCTGTTCCTCTCCTGTCTTGTTACAAGGGCACTGCTCTCCATGTCTTGCCAAGAAATTCAGAAATACAACTGCAACTGCCTTAGTTCATGCCTTCATCATAATTTCCTTTGACTATTACAGTAGCATCTTAACCTCTAGCTTCTCCTTGCTCCAAATCATCATCCAAATTGCTGAAAAGATCTCTCTCAAAATCTTAAGTAGATCTCCTTCGGCCATGCGATAGCATTCAAATTCCTTGGCCTGACATAGAAGTCAACACCAGGGTCCCTAATCCACCTTTCCAGTCTTAGTTCCCATTATCCCGGCAACACTCTGTACCTTCTGTCTTTCCCCAAAAGTGCCATGTTCTTTCATTTCTCTGTGGTTTTGCTCACGCATTTCTCTCTTCCTGAAGAACCCTTCTCCTCTTGCTAATTTCTGCCTCTCTTCTGTAAAAAGTTCCTATATGTTCCCAGCAAGAATGGCTTTCTGGTACCCTAGCCCATTATACATACCCTTCAGTATAGTGAATTTTAGACCGTGAGATCATTGAAGAGGGGGACCGTGATTTGTTTATCTTTGTATATCTTGCCCTTGGTACCAAGCACGGTAAGGGCTCAATAAATCCTGGCTGGATGATTGAATTAATTGTCAATAATACCCCATGCTTTCATAAAAAAAATGCACATTCAGTTGCAAAGTACCTCTTACAAACAGTTTGCTCCACAGGATTCAGCATGATTGGCCACAGTTTTCTGGATCATTCTAGCAAGTAGCTCTGATGGTTGCAAAATGGTTCTCAGTTCCATGCCCTCCATATTAACACGGCCCTTCCAAAGCAAGCTGTTTTTCTTTCTCAATTGCCTCCTGACTCAGCTAAGCCTGTTGAACAAACTCTGTAAGACTTCATTTCCTTGACTTAGGCCACATTTTCAGCCCAGCACCACAGAATCATCATCATCATTCATTGCTGAGATTGTGGCATGCTGCTTATCTACATGCAGTCATTCTCCAGGCAAGAAACAATGCATTATTAACACAGCTTTATTATCAGGCCCAAGTCTGGCAGATAGAGCAACATTAGAGGATAATTGGAAGGACAGCTGATTTGTTAACAAAACGTTGCTTTTTGTCTAATGAATCATTCTGATTTTTGCACTGACAGCTCAGTAAAAAGCTTGAAGACTACTTTGCTTCAGACCATTAAACTTTGACAAACCAGTTATTAACTACAGCTAGAGCCAGTGGTCTGTGGGGATTGTTGCAATTATGAGCCAGATATGTAATTTTTTTAAATCATTAGGCAAGACAAGGTGAGCCTGATGATGGAGGGGCTGGTGACTGACAGCGCCCATTGCTTTATAGCACACAAGGCAATAAACAGTTGCTGGGAGGACTAATCAGTCAGCAAAAGCTCTTAGCTGGGAGGGTGTAGGAAGAGCAATAAAGGTTATTGCTCTCCAACAACAAGTTTGGTTCGGGAAAGAAAAGACAAGGTTTCTTTGACGTCTTCTTTGGAGGCTTGGCTTAGTTATCTAGTGCTGCTATAACAGGAATACAAGTAGGTGGCTTTAAAGAACAGATATTTATTTTCTCACACTTTAGGAGGCTCTTTTGTTATTATTAGGTGCTGTTGAGTCTATTTTCAACGCATAGTGACCCAATATGACAGAGCAGAACTGTCCTATAAGGTTTTCTTGGCTGTAATCTTTATGGAAGCAGATCACCAGGTCTATCTCCTGGGTGGGTTTGAACCACCAACCTTTCAGTTAGCAGATGAGCACTGAAACATTGCACCACCAGGGAGCTGAATACGGGGCATCAGCCTGAATTGTTGTTGCACTCAAAAAGCCCATTGGAAGGTACCTGTCTGTTCTTCTTTCTGCTCCCAACTATTTATAACAGTGATCTCACACTCAAAGCTTTAGGGGCCAGGTGGATAACATAAATTAATAAAACAAAAGAAGTGGTAAAAATGATGGTAGGATTGCAAGTCAAATAAAAACACATATGTGGGCCAGATTGTGACCTCTGGTTTACAGACAAAAGTCCAGGTCCTCAGCCTGGATTGTAAGACCCTTTGAATACAGCATACACCTTTCCAGCTTCATCTTCCTATATTGCCCTATTATGCATCCTTGTGGCCCAACCTAACTCTGATGTTCTCCAAATGTGACTCACACTTCCCAATATCTGAACCTTTGCCCTACCAGGATGGCCTTTCCCTTGAAATGTCTACATGTTCTCTCTTACCTACCCTCTGGGTCTTAATTTCTTTACTTGTCAAATTGGGAAGAAGGGTGGATTCAATTAACTTTAAAACCCCTTTCTGTTCTAAGGTTTTGTGAGTCTTACTTAACCTTGTGTAATATTCTGCATTCCCTAGGTGGACACATTGCTGGGAGTCTTGCTGTCATCACAGATGCTGCTCACCTCTTGATTGACCTGACCAGTTTTCTGCTCAGTCTCTTCTCCTTGTGGTTGTCATCAAAGCCCTGCTCCAAACGGCTGACATTTGGATGGCACCGAATAGGTACAGTTCACCAATTGAGCAATAATAACAGAATAGTAGTAAGTCAGAACAAGGGTAAAAATGGAAGGTACAAAGCAAAGCCTTGTTCAGAAATCCCCTAGAGGCACATCTCTGGTGCATAGGATAAAACAAGCCTCTGTGTTGAAATGTGTCTTATCAACATTAATTCAAATAATAGGCAGATAAATGGCATTATCTCCTGTTGGACAACAGGAACATAAGTGTCCGTTTAGCAACCTCTTCCTCCCTAGGGTAACAGCCTTGATATTCTTCATTGAATTACTCTGCCTCCCTGGGAAAGAGGACAGGCGTAAAGCTTCTGCCATGTTGCAAAGTAAGGCACAGAGAGCCTGAAGAGAGTTGCAGAGATTGAAGAGCTGCTTATAGCAGATTTGGGAACAGAATATGGGCTTTCCTGCTCACACCACAGCACTTAGCATGCACCAGAGAATGGCTCAGCTGAATATATTGCTCAATTATATAAAAAGAAGAAGGAGAAGGAGGAGGAGGAGGAGAAGAAGGGAAAGAAGAAAAGACAAAGGAGAAGAAAAGAAGGAGGAGGAGGGGGAGGAGAAGAAGAGGAAGAGAGAAGACGATTCACACTGGTTGAGAAATTCAATGTAGAGGAGACCTTTGGCTGAGTACCTGTCATTAGTCTGTATAAACTTTTACATGCATTAACCTTTCTGATACCATTGGTCAAAGTTCTTTTGTAAACACAGGGTGTTTCGTTAACACAGAGTGAACTCAGAATGTAGATCGCTCCTTATACTTTCTCATCCTGGCCATGGAAATCTAAGAGCATTGTCACTCTGGAAGACCAGTGCTGTCCAATAGAACTCTCTGTTACTAGGAACATGTTCTATGTGCTAGAATGTAATGTGGCTACTGAGCATTTGAAATGTGTCTAGTGCTACTGAAGAACTGGATTTTAATTTAAATTCAAACAGCCACATATGGCTGGTGGTTACCATATTGGACAGTGCTGCTATAGAGCTCCAGGTGAGCTGAACACATCCACAGACTGGTTTGGCCATCCCAATGACCTCTGTTATACTAACAGTTTCCTTAGCAATTATTGTAGTACATGTGGATGTTTCCTGATGTGTTTCTTTTCCTAACTAGTTACTTTTGGATTTCTGATTCTTTGTTTCATTGTCAGGTTTCGACCCTACTCATGCCTTTGGACTCAATATTTTGGTTTCGTCCTCCCAGCTCTCACCATACCTCTCTGGTCATAGGCGTAGATTTGGATATGCTCTACTTGCTTGCCCTGATTTAGACTCTCCAGGGTAGGAAGCAAACTAGCTAACTTCTATAAACCCAGTCTCTCTTCCTGGCTAACCAGCAATTCTTGGACCTGGTTCACATAACTTCTACAAAAGGGGATTTTAAATAGCCTGGCTCAACTAACAATAAATATTTCTTGAGTGCTTGCTATATGCAACTTATTACACATTATATGCCATTGCCATTACCTCCAACACTTAACTGATTGCACCACCCACGGGCTCCATAGATAAGGAAACTCAGTCTCAAATAGGTTAAGTTACTTGTCCAAGACCACACAGCCAGTAACTGGCAGACCATATATGACTGACACTTGAACTCTTGCCCTAACCATCTGGACCAGCATTTTACATACTGTGGAAATACAACTTACCCTGGTGGTAAGTTGGATGATTTTAAATGTCACATGGACAATAATTATATATCCCAACATGTGTTAGAGAATAAACTAGCACATCAAACATGTAATTTCATAGATATATTTATTTAGGAAAAAGCTAAGGGTAGAAAATGAATTTATTCAAAGAAAATATTAAGTGGCTAACAAGACAGTTGGCATGTGGCTATGATAAAAATCATGAAAGTTACCTGCAAATGACTGAAGTCTGGGAAACAATAGTCACATCCAGCAAAACAATATGTGACCTTACTTAGCTTTAAATGGGACTAGTATACAGGATTCATTTAAAGAAGGGAAGGTAAAAATTATTGAATGTTCCTGACCACTGGCTCTTAGAACGTTTGTAGACCCTTGTGGGCTTTTAGAATCTATCTACAAGGTTAAGTTCAAGACCAAGGTGTGGTGTTCAGGAACTCCTACCTGAGCATTTGTACTCTTCTGGATGGGCAGGTTGAACACTATCCTATCTTTAAATATTAATGTCAATGTCTCCATTCTGATGCTTATTTTCCTTACCATTACTTTAAAATGCAGTTAGTGTTGATCAGCCTCTGCACTTGGCTCTGTGTTTGTAATATGTTGGGTTGGCAAGTGAAACTCATTTCCATCAAGTGCCCCCTGAAGCCTCCTCTTTCTACTGTCTTATTCCACCAAAGGTGCTGCTACTGGCAAGTTGTAAATGTTTTATGGTGAAAGTAAGAGTTTCTAAACACGTTTTCCTCTTTGTGCCTCATTATTTCATCTCCTAATAAGTTTCCATCAATTTAACACCTGTTTAAATTAAAATCCCTAGGGAAAACAGCGAGGGCAGGCAGTAATTAATATGCTTTAAAAATTTGCTGGAAAATACTTTAGTGATAGGGAGTATAAATGAACTCAGACGCTGGTGTTTTATGAATGTAGTATTAAAGCGCCTCAGATTAGTCCTGAAATTCATTCACACTTTTGCATCGTGAATCACTAAGGGAACTAGCTGGAAGCCGTTTTTTGGGGTTGGGGGCAGGCACAGATTACCCAACAAGCAAGGTATGTGCGGACTCCATTAAGCTCGTGCCGACGTTGCTTACTTTAAACCGGTGAATACCGTGCTTACTGGTTAATCCACCGCTGGGTGGGGGACGTCAATGTTTTTACGACTCTCGGAGAGGTTAGGGTGATCTGTGAGTTTGTTGAGTGCAGGTGTCTTTGTATGTTTGAATCCCTAGAAATCCTCGGGGCCCTGCTGTCCATCCTCTGCGTCTGGGTGGTGACTGGTGTGTTGGTATACCTGGCATGTGAACGCCTGCTGCGCCCTGATTACCAGATCCAGGCGACTGTGATGATTATCGTCTCAGGCTGCGCAGTGGTGGCCAACGTCATGTAAGTCATCCCTACACACTGCTCATGAGGTTATCTTTAACCCTGTCTGGAGATTTTTTTTTTTTTTTTTTATTCCTTTATTGTGAAGATAAGGATCCCTGGTGGTGCAATAGATAAAGTGCTAGGCTGCTAATCAAAAGGTCTGTGGTTCAAACCCACTAGTGGCTCTGCAGGAGAAAAGCCCTGGTGATCGGATTCGGTAAAGATTCTATATAGGAAACCCTATGAGATACTTCTGCTTTGTCATACAGGGCCACTGTGTGTCAGAATTGACTCTACAGCAGCACACAACGACATTGTGAGGAGAGGTCCCCAGGTGATGCAAATGGTTTGTGCTCAACTGCTAACCTAAAGATTGGTGGTTCGAACCCACCTGGTGGTACCAAGGAAGAAAAGGCCTGGTAATCTGCTTCCATTAAGATTGCAGCCAAGAGAACCCTATGGAGCAGTTTTCTTCTGTAACACATGGGGTTGCCATGAGTTGGAATCAACTCCATGGCAACCAACAACCACATAACATCGTGAGGGAAGAAAAAACATGACAGAGTGTTCAAATGGCTCTAAGATTGAAAATAAAGCTAGTTGAGCAGGAAGACTGGGCAGGAAAGCTACAGGGTGTTTTAATATTGATTCGTGATAGCTAGCGATTTTGAATGCTTCCTATATGCCAGAGGCTGTGCTAGGCTCTTTTGATATACATTATCAAGTTTAAAGTTCATGAGATCCCTACTTTACAGTTACAGGTTAGGAAACTGAAGCTCAGAGAGGTTAAATAACTTGTCAATGAAGAAGCATAGAGTCAGGATTTGAATCCAGATCTGCTAAACTCGGAATCAGGCTGCTAGTCACTCTGCTTTTTCATGTATGTTGTTGGTTCCATACGGGACATGACTTCATTCTTTCTTTCTTTTTTTTTTTTTAGTTGTACTTTAGATGAAGGTTTACAGAACAAATAGTTTCTCATTAAACAGTTAGTACACATATTGTTTTATGACAATAGTTAACAACCCCATGACATGTCAACACTGTCCCTTCTCAACCTTGGGTTCCCTATTACCAGTTTTCCTATCCCCTCTTGCCTTCTAGTCCTTGTCCCTGGACTATTGTGCCCCATTAGTCTTGGTTTGTTTTAT